AAAACTAGTTCTAAATCTACTTTTCTTATGTGTTATTGATATGGTAATAAACAGCAATTTGTTATGTTTGAATTTAGTATGGGTAAATTCCTGAGAGCAACAAGTAGAACTTTAATAAAGTTAAAGGAAAAGCATCGTGCGAGTGTAGTATGGTTGTAACAAAGTTGACACGTGATAAAGTAGTGTCAGAAGGGGTTTGCAATAGAATGGCGTCGGAAGACGACATAAAATAAACTGGTATTTGTAGTAAGATTCATCAAACAACGAAAGAAGAATTAAAGTGGAACAATATCAACAAAAAACGAGAAGGATGTTCAGCTGAATGAAGCAGTGAAGTCGGAAAAGAGCGAAAACTTCCTTGTTTGATCTTATCTTCCCTGTCTTGGTTTTATTGGTGGTTCGGTTATTTCTTGCTGGTTAAAAGTTGTGTGGTTCATTGTTTAAGAGTAGAGAAACAACACTATCATGGATGAGAATTGGAATTCAGTGACAGAAAGTCAGTTGGTAAACACATATAGGAAATTGGGTATAACATGTAGTCACAATTGGAAAAAAAAGATGAAATGTGTGAAGTTTTAATTGAGGAAGTCAGTTACAACAGATGATTTTTCTTACCTCGAGCTTAGTAAAAGTACGAGTGGTATTCACGAAAGTTATCATGTTAACGATTTAGAACTTTCTAAAATACAGTTCAAATGAAACAAGAGAACAAACAGGTGGAAGTAGAAACCGAGACGGAATATTTAGAGCTAGATTTAGAAGACAAGCATAAACAGAGAGAATTCGAGTTGATGATGATATAAGACAGGGTAATTATAGCGATAGGGCTAGCATGTATGAAAGAACCATTCACTTAGTTTATAAGTTTTGTGAAAGCGATGTAGATGTATTTTTGTGCCTTTTAAAGGATGGCGAGAGCAAAAGAATGGCAGCAACAGGACATGGTGAGAAAATTAATTCAAGTTTTTATATTTTTTAATATAAAACATACTGCACAAGTAGCTCTGCATTTTGTTTATTTTCAACTTATTTTCTTTAAAATTTTTGATTTTAGCATTCAATAGCAGTTTATTGTAATTGCATTTTATTTTTGAAACTTATTTTAATATAAAAGCTGTAATTTTGATTAATTCACATTTTTCTATTGTAATTCTTTTTTTACCTTTTTTGTCTGTTGTATTTTGATTGCCCCTTTATTTTACTTTAACTGGTTGTTGGATACTTTGTGTATCACTGAAGGAGACGATTGTTGCATATTAAAACCTTCTTGTTTGGCCTTTAACGTTCGGATCTGGGAAAACCCAGTCAGACATAATGGGTGTTTTTAAAGTTGAAATAACTGGAAAGTTTTCGTATTCATAACTCAACTTCACTTAAAATGAGCGGAATGAGATCCTGGATAGCTATTTAAACCATAATGTGTTTATGTTTCGGTGGTTTTTAAATTTCTGTGGCAGTTTTTGCTTTGTGTAATATTTTTTGATCCTAAAATAATGGAAACTACACCATTAAAAGCTTTAAAGTAATACATATTCCAGGATCGGAGGAAGCAGTCCTGCTTAGTCATTACAGCTCAATTTCAATATGAAGTGACCCCATAAGCTGATAGAATACATCAACATTTTATCTTCAATGAAATTCTAAGTGTAGGAATATTTCGAGGCCTGTCCCATAAACAACAATCCAAAGCAGCTCAGTTGGACTCAATTTAGAGCTTTGGTATTCCCCAGGAATTCTGTTCTGTCAAGCACTTGTTGGACAAGGTATGCAATGTGACACAAATAATATTATGAAAAACAATATACCCATCCCCTGTATAATTTCATCAACGCAACATTGTCCAGAATGTCAAAATAGTTCAAGGCATTCATACCATCCTTAATCATTACTAATAAACCAAAAAACCAAGCCCAAATCAAATACTGCACTCACTGAATTTCATCGTTCGTACAACAGTTGTAATCTTTAGATTTCAATCAAACTGATACCCACCCATCCAAAATCAAGCAATATGTACCGATATTTCTCCATTTGAATGTTGATGCTCAAGACACCATGACAGTAAAAAAATACATTGAACATGGATATAATAAATGGTGTATTATTGCAGTTCATCCAGGAAATCCAATGGCACATAAATTCCTACGAAAACTGTTTGTGTCCTGTAGTTGTGAACGTTCCATGTCTTTAGGTTACGAATTTCGTGTAAGTACGTGGTTTTGTTTCACACTTATCTAACATCGAATAGACCATAGAGTAAATTAACTTCAGTTGGGTTAACATTAATACTTTATTGCATGTCTCGGAACCTTAACCCAAATGGATTTTGTTAGGAGTAAGGGAGCTGTAGTACTTAAGCTGCACCCAACACCGTTCCTTTTTTCTTTAAAAGACTTTCTGCTCTTCTTCTTAGCCTACGAGATTTTCACGTAAATCGGGTCAATCATTACCGCTCCCAAGGGAATTACCCCGATACTTTTGATAGCATTACAAATGTATTTATTGATCACATACAATATCATTATAGCTGTTAAATTGTCATTTAAGCAAAAAGTAACAGATCTTAAACAAGTAAACAACATTTAATAGCAACTTTATTAATTAACAGCCTAAATCACTTGATATCATTAAGTATAAATTAGTTCACGCCTTTACCTCACTATATGTAACATCTTTTAAGATGTATATTAATTTTGTGTAATCAGTAAAAACGTCATCGAAAGATGGCAACTATGAATATTACCAAAACAAACACTAGTTTTTAAACAAGGAATAGCATAGATGAAATAAATTAAATGTATATTAACAAATGAATATTTGTCTTTTACTATTCAATTTACTTACATTAGTCCCCAATAAAGTTT